AAACCATAGTTGATGTTTGGGTCATCTTTTGATGCGTTTCTGCATGACTCAGGAATAAGATCAGAGCCAGAACTTGAGACTTGAAATACAAATAAAATCAGTAGGAGTAGGATCAGATCAAAGGCCAGCTTCATTCTGTTGTTTGTTTTTCTCTCTGATTTTCTGTTGGCTTCAGAATCGGAACTTGGAATGTACAGAAATATGAGAAATGATAGATTGGCCAGGTCCATTCACTGATTGACAGATTGGAATATTAATTGATATGTCCCACTAATTCTCAGACGTCCCACTTGAGTAAAACCATGAATTTAATGCACAGTAATTCATACTTGAGGATTTAGCAGGCCTAGACTAATTCAGATTGAGGAATGATTTCTCAAAATCGGGTTAATTTCTTCTTAGCTTGTCCAAACAAACCAACAAAGCACCACAAAGTCACAAACAAGTTGTTCCTCCACTTCTCATAACCTTCATTCTTACTGTTCTAAAAGGTTCCACGTGAAGCAGTCCCAGAATTCAGAATCACAGAAGGGTCAAATTCATTCTCAACGCATCCACTTATCCAAGTTCAATCACAATAAAGCTTGTTTTGGAGTTCATGGTGGAGGATTGGTGTAACTACTTTTCTTATATATATAGGATGGCAAGATTTAATCTTGAAAGTTATAACAAAAGAGAGAAACAAAAAACAACCACAAGTCGAATTCCAAATGTGAAAGTCAAATGCAACATCAGTAGACATCATAGTACAAGACAAGTACAGAGAAAGATATCGCACGTTGCCGCCCATTTCAAAAACTATACTCTTTCGATCCTTAATATAAAACCTATTTAACTAATTTGATGAGATTAAGAAAGTTAGATAAGTTAGTTAATTATAAAAAATATGACATGTTTTTTTTAAAATACCATAATCATCTTTTTAATACCCTCCTTCCCTCTTCTACTTGATTATGGTTGAAGAAATATTCACATAGGCAATTTAGAAAAAATTGATAAATATAATAAATAGATCTTATATTTAGGATCAAAATCAATTCAACAATTAATTAGGTCTTATATTAGGGCCCGGAGGAGTCCTATTTATGCATCTTGATAAAAGCCAGAGACATTGCGTTGATTTCAAAGTAAACTTTTTTGTCTCCTGTTAAAGGAGGCTTGTCTTTCCCTTCCTTGAACCGGTCTTCACACGTAGCAGAGGCATTCATTGCTGCACTTATCTTGATATTAGCAGAGCTGAAATCTCTGGACCTGAAAGCACCCAAGGCGTCGTCCAAATCTGAAAGAGAGTCTGAGTAATTATCAGAACAATCTTTTAAGCATTTCTTGGCGTAGTCACTGAACTTGGGATCCTTCAAGAGATTGGAAATGGTGGAGATTATGGTAGTTCCATTGGCCTTGGTTATCTGAATGGACTTGGCTACAAGCTCTTCGAGACTAGTGGGTGGACTTGGAGACTTGGCTTTAAGGCTCAGCGCAGAAATCATAGTTGATGTTTGGGTCTGCTTTTGAGGCGACTCTGCAAGATTCAGCAACGAAATCGGAGCCAATTGAGACTTCCAACACAGTCAAAAACAATAGGAGATGAAAGCCAAACTTCATTCTGTTTATTTGATCTATTTTTTTCTCAATGTGCTCTATGGACGTTAAGATATGAGCTTGGTGCATATGGGAGAGGAATATTAGTATTAAATGGCTATATCTTATGCCATTAATGTTGCAGATTAAATATTAGTAATTGATACATATATCATTGGGTTCTGATCATAGCATTAATTTTATCCCTCCTTCATTAGCATTAATGATTTATGTTACAGAGTATTTGAAACAATGAAATCCGACATTAAGGACGGGAGAAGTAATTAGAATGAAAAATGAAAAAAAAAAAACAGATGAAAGAAATAAAAAAGCAAGACAAGCCGCCTGCAAGGGTCGGGTCCGACTGGTAGCAAATGGGAACGCAAGGCGCCTTCCCTACCATGTCATGGGTTCGATACCTGCGAGTGCACCTAGGATTAGTCTGGCCGGTTGTGCTGGGATACCCTAAGGCAGCGATACCATCCTATTCAAAAAAAAAAAAAGCAAGACAAGCCAAATCAATTTTGTAGTACTCATTTTTTAAGTTCCTAGCAGTACTTTTGTTTTCATCACTTTGGAGCCCGTTCCCCTTCCCGGGTTATTTTTCCAGGCGATGTAGAGATATTTTGAAACCTTAGTGCTCCTTTGTTAGACTGAAAATATTTGGTCATATATTGAAAAGGAAAAAGACAAAACGAAAAAAAGAAGAGGAAAAGCACAAAAGAATTAGCTAGCCTTAATTGAATCCTATTACATAATTTTTTGGTATATGAATATTAAAATGTTGAAAATCAGCCATTTGGTTTATGATTTTCAATTAAGTTGAAAAAATATTTTCTTGAAATGAAGTGCACAAAATTTTTTTAATAAAAAAAATTTTATTTTGTCAAAAACAAGTCAAAAGATACGCCACTAAAAACCCTCTTGACACATATAACGCCAATGAAGAATAAGGTAATAGGAAAACAAACCTCAACGTTGACACAACTGTATCAGCATTTAAGTCAATTCATTTTTTGAAAAATAATATTTATTAAGTTATTAACTCTAATTACAAACCTCAGACTATTAAAAGAAAAAATGACATAAAAACAAATATTGAATTTCAAAATGATAAATATGTAATTTTGATAGATTTTGAAACGTCAAAACCATTACAAAAATAATTAGCAAGAGCAATTTACCTTTTTGAAATTTATGAAGTATTTTTTTGGGTCATTTTTCCTTATTAGAATAAGTAATTGATGGGACAAAATAAGAAACAAGAAAATTTGAGACATCCATCTTACGAATATTTCTTATAAACAGGGATAAGACAGAGATCACAGTTGTTTCTTATAAAAAATGACAGAGGGAAGAGTAGAGGGTGGAGTAGTGTCCTCTCAAGAGAATTATTTATGCATCTTGATAAGGTCCAGTGACATTGCATTGAGCTCAAAGTACACCTTGTTGTCGTCTGTTAAAGGAGACTTTTCTTTCGCTTCCTTGAACTGATCTTCACAGGTAACAGAGGCATCCATTGCTGCACTAATCTTAGTACTTGCAGAGTTGAAATCTTTGGACTTGAAGGCACCCAAAGCGTCACCCAAATCGGAAAGAGAGTCTAAGTAATGATCAGAACAATCTTTGACGCATTTCTTTGCATAATCACTGAACTTGTGGTCCTTCAACAGAATGGAAATGGCGTAAACTACGTTAGCTGCTTTGTACTCAGTCATCTGAATGGTCGTGGCCACAAGCTCTTCCACACTACAGGGTGGACTCGGAAACATGGCCACAAGACTCGCAACGCAGAAAGCATAGTTGATGTTTGGGTCTTCCTTTGAGGCTTCTTTGCAAGATTCGGTAATGAGATCGGAGCCACTACTTGAGACTTTGAACACAGCCAAAATCAATAGGAGATAAAAGGCCAGCTTCATTATTATTCTGTTTATATTGATCTATTTTTAATTCTCTCTTCTCAATGATTTTCTATATAGTTGTCAGGATTGAACTTGGAATTGAATATATATAGATGAGAAAATGAGGACTTGGAATATCCAGTGCCATTAATGTGTGTTGGAATATCAGAACTATTTATTGATGGACCATTGGCTTTTGAAAATAGCATTAATTCTTTGTATTATTTAAAATAATTAAAAAGGCTGCTCTTTCAAAATGATGACCAAATTTAAAGAGGAGTTGATCTCGAATATACTTTCCTTTTTGAACTTTACTTTCTTCTTAATTTTCACTTTATTTATTAATTAGGTTAAATTTAAACAGTTTAGATCTAATATTTGACAAAATGAATTCCTTCTATTTTTATTATAAACTTTTTTAGCCATTTAGATTTTTTTTTACTTTTTTTATGTATTTTTATATTGTACTAATAATTTTAAAAAAAATACTAATTTTTTTAGCAAACTATAAAATGTGAAATTTGAAGTTAAAAGTTAATCTAGCAGTTGAAACGAAAATCGGAGAAGAAGTTCTTACCAAAAAATTCAGAGAAGTGGATGGGCGAAAAGTGGATAGTTTGGCATATGATTTTCAACATCCTGGCAATTAGCATAAAAAAAATAAAGACCTAAATATAAAATAGAGGAAAAGTGCATCTCACATCCTGATATTATTTTTTAGGTATACCTAACATCATAATTTTTTTAGTAGCGCAATTTTACCCATAATCCTTAAATTTGGTGCAATCTTACCCCTATATATTTATTTAAAACTCAAATCACCCTTCTCCTTAATTTTATTCATTTTAACATTAAAATAAATAATGTTGGCTCCTTTATCAGATTATTAGCAACTTTCATATCAAGTAACCAAGTTATAATCACATCAAAAAACTGGAAAATGGGTGAGATTACTCCAAATTTAATAGATCATAAATAACATTATAATATAAGAAGATTATGGTGTTGGGTGCACATGATAAATGAAATTAAAACGCAGGGTGCACCTTTACCTTATGGAATACACAGCTTCATTGATTGAATAGCTTAAGTGCTTAATATACACCTGAATTATTAATAAAGTCAAAGTGATTTATAAAAAGGGGCTGGGAAAAATAAAACTTATATTCGTAGGTTTCCGTCTAAACTCTCAGCTGCTTAATTAAATTGTCGGATTAAAATCAAAATCTGAAGTTTTTGAGCAAGTCTTACATATTAGTTTGGCCAAAAGAAAAGAAATAATCTTATATATGAGAACCCAAAAGCATGTTTGCATTCATCAAGCCTAAACAAAAACTTCAAAAGTACACACACATGCACAAATTTCAACATAACAAATGAAGACAATAGATCATTTCCACATAAACTAATTCTAAAACTGTACAATTTAATCATTCTATATGATTTGATTATATGTGTAGCTATATGTACAATACCCTAGACGGCATAATAGCACAGAGAAATTAAAGATATATAAAATCACTACTGATGAATCTTGATGAAAGCCAGAGACATTGCGTTAAGCTCAAAATACGTCTTATCATGCTCTGTTAAAGGAGACTCTTCGTTCCCGTCAGTGAATTGGTTTTCACAGGTCACAGAAGCTTCCATGGCCGCGCTTACCTTCATACTCGCTGTGTTAAAATCTTGAGACTCAAAAGCTCCCATGGCGTCATCCAAATCAGCAAGGGAATCTGAGTAAAGATCAGAACAATCTTTCAAGCATTCCTTGGCGTATTCACTGAACTGGTTGGGCTCCTTCAAAAGATCGGAAATGGTGGAAACTATGTCTGTTGCGTTGGACTTTGTTATCTGAATCGACATGGCCACAAGATCTCCAAGGCTGGTTGGTGGATTGCTCTGAGAGATCACGGCCTCAAGGCTGGCGACGCAGAAATCATAGTGAACGATTGGATCATTCTCCGAGGCCTTCGTGCAAGATTCTCGAATGAAATCGCAGCCATTTGAAGCTTGAAACAGAATCAATAATACGACGAAACTTGAAGGATAAAGAGTCATAAACTTCATTCTTCTTCTTGATCTTCTTGTGTGTTGTTTCGGACTATGTGGCTCTCAAACGGGGCTGTGTCTATATATATGGGTTGAAAATTTGAGCTTTTTTCTGGTGGGATTTGAGAAGATTATTATCTGCGGGCTTTTGCAGTTGTGGTTTGGTTGATTAGATACGCATGCACGTAAGATTAGTCGGAAATCGCAAGAAAAATGGTACCGAATTTAACAGAAATCTGACGTGTTAGTTAATTTGACTCGTTTTAGTTTCCCTTTGTTCCAAAAGAGAGAGAAAAAGGAATCCTTGTTGTGCCTTGTAAGTTACAACTACGTTGCTGCTCAAGTTATATCCCCTGCGAAGTTGGATTTTGCGGTCCATACATGTGGATATGTGGGTGAAATTGTCATGACTTCAAAGTTTGGTTCTTAGAGCTTCATTAGAAGGCAATGAATGAAAAAGGCGAGGAGACAAGTCGCACGCACGCACGCACGCACAGAGAGAGAGAGAGAGATTTTTTGCATTTATAGGGTGTTTGGATGAAAACCAAACCATGGTTTTAAAAGTGTTTTTCGGTATGCGAGGTAAATATGTGAAGGAGTTTGTCTCGATTTGCAGAAAAGTGCTTTTAAAAAGCACTTATGGGAGAATCCAAACACCCCCTTAATGGAAAAGGCAGGGGTAGAAGCTTGGAGCGAATTTTGAGGCCATGATCTCTTCATGTCCAGGTGAAATCAGTTTCATCACAGTGATAAGCGTTATAATACTTATCAAATCTTAACTATTCAAATTTAATTTTAACGGCCTTGATTTAATATTTAATATTTTTTAATAGGTATATAATCCAAAATAAATGTAATTTTTTAAAAAAATAAATTTTTTATTTAAAAATCATTAGTTAAAAATTTTAAATATAGACCATTAAAACTGTATTTGAATAGTTTAGATTACACTATAATGATGAGTACTAAAATTGGTTTCCCATTATTTATACACACATGCACTCTGATGATCATATTTATAAAATAGAAGGAGAAAGGTTTTCGTAGTCCTATTTATAAGCTATTTTATTAATTTTTAATATGAATATATTATTTTATTATTTATATATTATAATGTGTATAGTTATTTGTTTTTGGTAAAGTGACAAATTTATTTATTGTAATATCAAAAATGAATAATAGGCACCCTCATAAAATATTGGCTATAAAAATACTCATAAACTTTTCAAAATGAAGCAAAAAATCAAGTTTGTTAAATCTAACAAATATCTGTTACTTTTTCTGTAAGTGGAGCCCACTTTGACATGCGTCAACTTCTGGTCTCTCCTTGTAATCAACTCTCTCTTCCTCGTTCTCTCTTTCTCTTCTCTCTTTCCCTTTTTACCCTTTGTTTGTTCTTCTTTGTTTTAAAATGCTTTTAATTTTTTTTAAAATTATTTACTTAAATAAATATTTGAATAAAATAATAATTTTTATAATTAATTTTTTAAAAAAATTTAACGTGGAGGGTAATAAAAATACTTTTTCTATTTACAAGCTCAAACTCTCTATTTTAAATAAAAAATTAAGTCTTTTACATAATTTATTCACTATTTAAAATATACAAATAAGATCTATTCAAATTAAAATATATATATATTCTCATCTTAGGACTTGCAGATATTATTGATAGATACATCTTAATTTTTTATTTGAAACTGATCGTTCAAACTTTGTAAATAGAAAAGAATGTATTTTTATTTTGACTGCCTTTCACATTAAATTTTAAAAAATTTAGTTATAAAAATTAATATTTTATCCAAATACTTTTTAAATAAATATTTTTTAAAAAGGTAAAAAAAATTTAAAAAAAAGAACAAGAAGAAGAAACAAAGGGTAAAATGGGGAAGATAGAAGAAAAAGAGAAAGGGAGGATGAAAGAGTTGATCATGAGGAGTGACCATAGCTAACATGTGGCATAATAGACCCAACTGACAGAAAAAGTAACTAATATTTGTTGGATTTAATGGACTTGGGGGGTGTTTGGATGAAACCAAACCGTGGTTTGGAGAATAGTTTCTGGAAAATAGATTCTGGGTGTGTTTGGATGAAACCAAACCATGGTTTGGAAAAGTGATTCTAGAGAATAGATTTTGGGAAGAATAGATTCTGGAAAGAATAGATTTTATGAAAAAGTGATTTTGAGAAGTGAAAGTGTTTGGATAGTTGTTATCAGAAGCACTTTTTATATATACAAATTGCTAAAAAAAAGACATAAGTTAATATGATAATTACAGAAAAAATAGATTTTATGATATATTTTAATTTGAAGGAATAAAATTGTTAATAATATATTTTTATTAACATAATTAATAATACATAAGATAATATAATTAATAAATAATTAATATGTATATATATTTATAAAATATAAGATTAAATATGTTTATAAAAAAATAACAAGATACATATCCTATAGGTTCTCACACTCTCCCTTTTTTCTCCAAAAGCAAAAATTTTTGCTTTTTCCAAAACCATGGTTTTGGTTTTTGGGTGGGTGTTTGAGTGATTTATTCCCCAAACCATGGTTTGGGGTGTCACCCAAACACAGCCTCTGGAAAAAATAGATTTTGTGAAGAATAGATTTTGTGAAAAAGTGATTCTGAAAAGTGAGAGTGTTTGGATGACATTTTACCATAAACACTTTTTATATATGAAAATTACCAAAAAGGGTATAAGTTAATATAATAATTATATAAGGGATATTTTTATAATATATTTTGATTTGAAGAAGTAAAATTGTTAATGAAATAATTTTTACTCACATAATTAATAATTTATAAGATAATATAATTAATAAATAATTAATATGTGTATATATATTTATAAAAATATATTAAATATATTTATAGAAAAAATAATTTTTTTTGCTAAAAGAAAAATAATAAATTTTTTTTAAGATTTTAAACATGAAATCCCATAACATTTTTTCACAACTAATTTTTGTAATAACAAAGTACCTCCGATGTTTAATATAATTAATTAATTAATTGTCACCACATGTATATATATTCATAAAACATAATAGTAACAATATTTTTGGAGAAGATGAATTATTAAAGTAAGTAATAATTGGCGTGAGAATATAAGGTTTAATGTTAATAAAAGGAATATAAATAAAGAAGTGTCATAATAATTAAGATGATGTATCGATACAAAGCATTTGTAATAGGTTTTTTTTAACTACATATTACAATCTATGATAAAAGAAAATAAATAAGACATGACTACGATCTTTGTCTTTGTAATGAATTAACAAGTTCGTCTCTTATGCTGTCACGAACCTGAGCCATGTAAGATGAAGATTGAATTGATGAATGTATACGTGAAAATTCAACCCCATCATCATCTTCTTCTGCATAAGTACCTTCTTCTTCCAACTAAACGAATCTAGGATCAGTAATAGATGTCATTCTAATAAAATTATGTATAGCCATCGTTGCACAAACGAGTTTAACTTGTGTTTCATAGTCATAGGATGGCATGTTTCCTAAGATTGCGAACTTATTTTTCCAAACTCCGAAAGTTCTTTCTACTGTACTCCTTAAACTTGAATGAAAATAATTAAAGACCTCATTGTCATTTTGAAACGCAGATGTCCTTCGAAAATCGGGCAGATGGTAACGCTCCCGTCTGTATGGGCCAAGATATCCATTTGGTGTTGGGTATCCAGCATCCACCAAATAATATTTTCCTATCAAAAATGAAATTATTGTAAATTATGTTTCTATTGTTAAGGTAAATATAAATAAAATGTAAGAAATAAAAAATTACCTTCAGGTGGATGGGGAAAGTTCATTGAAGGAGTTGTGAGGGCATGATCAAATATCCGAGCATCATGTGCACTACCTTCCCATTCGGCCAAGACAAAAGTAAAACACATGTCCCAATCACAAACTGCCATGACATTTTGCGACACTGTTCCTTTTCTAGAAATAAATTTAGTTTGATCTGTTGCACTGACAATGCAGGAAACATGTGTGCCATCAATTGCTCCAATAGCATGTTTAAAAAAAGGCCAGTATTTACCAAACTGAATTTTTGTATGAAAATGCCGGAATGTTGGATCTTTCGGTTTGATATTAGACATTGCAAGTCTACAGCATGCCATTAAGACATTATAAAAATGTCTGCTAATTGTCTCCCCTGAATGTTGAAATCTTTCTTGTTGCATTCTGCTACTCAATGCATGGCCAATGGTATGTAAAAACATTGCAACTGATTCATGTATCCCTATATTTTTAGTTTCTTTTAGACCATGTTGTTGCAATTGTTCCACCAGACTTAAGAACACACCCCGTTCCATCCTAAACATGTTATAACAACGACTGGGGTTGCCATCTAAAACGTCCTTACCCATAAGCTGCATGTATAAGCACTTGTATGCCGAGGCTCTTTACACAAGTTCAAAGTAGCGTATGCACCGACCAATGCTGCAACTTTGTTAACCCGTTTTTTTCGTCCCTTAGCATGCTCTTCCACACGTTTAATTTCATCATCCATATTCGTTTTATCCTGTGCACATACACATAAAGTTTAGAATATTTACGTAGAAATTACGAAATATTTATAAAAGTTTAGAATACTTGTCTGATTCATATAACAACCCCCAAGTCACATAAAAACGATACACATATGGAACTGTCTAATATAATAAACAAGTCATAAATCCCTAGTGTAATACTCCAAAATAGGCAGAAGTTGTTCCTTCTGATTCTTCAGAGCTGCATACATTTCTCGTGCTTCCGGCCGTTCCATAAGGAGTCGTGTGCACCGTTTAAAGAAATCAGGATCACTGACAACTTCAGGAACTGTTTTCAGGTGAGACAGGACTCCCCTAATTGAAATCTCATAAGCACACGCTTCTTCTTCCAACCTTCTAGCTTCTACTCGTGAAATGACCTCATTTCCACACTTAGCCTCAGAAATATTTGTTTGAGCAATCAGGCTAAGTACATCTGCTATTTTCA